TACAAACATGAGAAAAATAATGAATAGTTATAAGAACAAAATGTATGTGAATAAAAGAATGAAAAGACCTAAAAGAACGTTACACTTTATGAATTGAAACATAATAATACAATTGACAAATATTAGAAAAAGTGATAAGTTACAAAATATAAATTAAACATTTGAATTAAACATAAGTATATAATGAAAAAATTGCATGAAAGAGTGGGGAAAATCGCTCAGTGAGAAGTTGTCAACAAATAATTGATAAAAATAACTTTTTAAAGAATTGTTTAAGAATTATTAACAAGAGCTGTCGGTAGGACAGCAACGCTCGACTATTCTTAGTGCTTGATAGTAAAACAAATGCTTGATAGAGTTACCTCCTCCTGTTTACAGGTTGGGGTCATGATGGTGAACAAGTGTGCAAAGTTTCAAAGCCATATGTCTATGGACTTTGAAAATATTTGAACTATTACAAAAACTTTAACATAAGTGGTCAGAGCTGCATTACTGGTACTGGTACTGCAGTACGTACTGCAGCGATTTTGCAAGTACTGGTACTGATACTGAATTACTCTTACAAAATTTTGCTACTACTGGTACTGGTACTGCATTACTGTCTTAAAAAGTGGTACTGCTACTGCATTACCCAGTACTTTTGGTGTTGATAAAAATTAAAAATAACATCAATTTTTCTCATAAAATAAAGCTGTAAATTACATTAACTATATTTTATTTTTGTGAAAAAGTAAGTTATCAAATCTAAAGATAATTTGCTGCAATATTCCTTCAAATGTAAACATAGTTTTCATCATAAAAAGCACCAAAGACTTTAAGTAAAAATTAGATTAAGATAAACAGACTCAATAACTCTTTACCCTAAAATATCCTTATTAAAATCTTTTATTACTTTGTATTTACTAGTAAAAGAGCAAAATAAACACTAATTAATTTCTTCAATTCTAAAAAATCCCATTTCAAGTGAAAAAAGTGATATTTTTAGCACCATAAAAAGTTGTTATTTACTTTGGTATAAATTGAACAGTGGTGTGAAGGTGTGAAAGGCAACAACAGACTGTTGTGTTTTAAATGAAAGATGTTTGCATTGTATTTATACAGTTGACTGGTTACTAAACAATTAGATATGACATGAATATATGTTGTAAATATTGTTTGTAAAAAGTATGTTAAAAATATAAAATTGTAGATATGTTAATATGTTAACTTTAAAGCAGCATGCCTCCAGATTCATCCTAATTTTCATGAAAATTTTGAAAATGTATTTAAAGGTAAAATATTGTTAAACGAACAAAGAAAGTACTTGACACATTACAATCGGCACTTAAAATCCACGTAAATTACCAAAAAGAGGTCAAAACATGCATAAATAGCCCCTACTGTGTTAGTAACGCAGTAGAAATATGGTGATAAATACTACAAAATACAGTCATAAAAAAAAATTGCACATAAGATATAAATTATCACTTGAATCTTTAATTTGTTTACTTTTCTCAAAGTTTTAGTAATTTTTTTCCAAGTTTAATTTTCTTGAAATAGTTTTGGTCATCTGGAGGCATGCAGCTTTAAAATTATGATTTTATTTCTTTGCTGAATAATATTTGCAATTATTTGTTCGGCACTGTATTAATTCAGATGAATATATAAAAGTAATGGTACTGATACTTAATTACTTCACCAAAAAAAGTACTGGTACTGCAGTACAGCTAAAATCTAGTACTGGTACTGGTAAACTGCATAATTTGGTACTGGTACTGGTACTTAAGTATACACCCTTAGTTTGCCAGCTCTGTAAGTGGTACTTTGCCGACGACGCTCGGGTGAACTGCAATAGCTCTACTTAAGTATCGAATAGTCGAGCTAAAAAATCTTAAAGAAAGAATTGATAATAATAAGTTATGAAATGCTCTTGAAAAATGAAGAAGAAAAGTAATATAAAAATTTCCAGTATGTAATGTTGTCAACAGAATGGTACTGTGTAAAAACAACACACTGGCCTTTTATATGAATTTGTAGTCAAGCATTTCACCTTAACAACAAACAGAAATTAAGACATGGTGATAAATAGAATTATAAATGTAATATTACTATCTTATAGAGAATTAAGATTTATTTGTCAAATACAAAGTAATATGTTGAAAACTATTGATATTGATATTTTCCTGTAACAACAGGTACCCTAACATGATTACTGGACAGATTAGTAAAATATATAATCTCTTTGTTTGGTAAAATATCTTTGTGACACTATGATACAATTCTTGCTTGAACTTCACCATCTTTTTGACAATGAGATCTGGTTAAAATCAAACACATGATTGTCAATTCTACTCATTGAAATACTTTGTTTTTCATCTGCACAATTTAGTCATGCAGGTAATACAAATTACATAACACGTTTGATTATCTTAGACAGATTAAGTAATCCATTTATTAAATAAAGAATGCATGTATGTCAACAATCTGGCTGTTAATTAAAGTTGTTTGAAAATCCTTTTCAATAGTTTTACCTTTTTTAATAAAACTTTCAATAGAATGTAAATTAAATTATCCACGTAAAATTAATCCATTCGCAGTTTTCATTTTTATCGATATACATGTATGTTGCTTTTAATATAAATACAATTCGAACAAAACGGACTATTTTCTCACTTTGATAATTCTTGAACGAGACATTTATACTAAAGTGCCTGTCATATACATTAAGTAGGCCCGCAGTTCTATAACTTTAGAAAGATTATCACGTATCTCTTCAAAACCAGTACTGGTCGGAGAGATAACTCCGACGCATAGATAACCCCGACACTTGATAAATATAATTGTTTTAGCTTTGTTTTTCAACAAATAAGCACATGCTCACCTAACAGTATAGGAACAGGACAGAATGTGATGATTTGTTATGAATTTGGTAGACTTTTTAATGTTTTTCAAATAACCTAAACTTTTTGTAGGCAAAAACTGCTTCAAAACGTTCTTTTTACTAAATTACAGTAAGGTAGTTAGAAATGTATTGACCACAGGCCACTGACTTGGGAAAGATTTTTGAAAAAATTGTTTAAAATATTTACAAAAAATAGATAAACCATATAAGATGTAAAAATAAATTATTGATGCTGATTTTCCAGTCATTTTTTACTTAAAAATTTAAGTGTCGACTTTATCTACTGTTTGTGGGGTAAAAAGACCATGTTTTGTATATACCTCATTCAAGACCTTAAAGAAGTACCAGATTCCATTTTCATACATAGTTTTTGTGGTGTAATGTAAAGTCTTTGAACTGAACTTTGTTTAGGTGGTTCAATATTTAAAATATACTGGAAGATAATTAAAATATTGCAAAAAATATGTGTTTTAGTGTCGGAGTTATCTCTCCAACCAGTAAAGCCCAATTCTAATTTCCGAAAATGAAACTAGTGGTTGGCCTACATTTTGGTTATCAATTTATCGATATATCATAGACTTACGGCGTTTGCAGTTGAATACGTTTACTTGTACACATGCGAATATTCATTTTCCTACATGGATACTTACTTTTAAAATATTTTACAACAAAACATAATGTATATTCTTACCTTTCTTACTTCCTTATACAGTTCAAAGGGTAAAGTAAGTAAAAAGTTCCAGTACACGGAATCCGGAACACAGGATATTCTCCGCCTTACGCTGGATAGTTTCCGGCCTTGTAAACTTTAAATAATACAATAGTACACTGTCAATAGTCTGATCATTCAATAATAAATTCAGTTTATGTAAATGAAGTGCAAAAAAGCTCGGAAAGTGATACAAAATTAATTTGAATATACGGATTGTCGCAAATTCCGGAAAAAAATACGGCCCGGCACGTGTTGGTCAGCCCTCAGCCCGTGACATAGGGCATGTGACACCAGCATCGGGGCTGACACGTACACAGACTGCAGGCGTGCCTTACAATGTCTCTATCTTGGGGCTGAAGGGTCCAGAATGAGCTCCTCTTGTAAAATTATCATAACGGTCCTGTTTATATATACGTATATAAAGTCATTGCTATGACTTTTGATGAAGATGATATAAGTACGCAGATAAATTATATTATATATATGAAATAAATACACACATACCACCAAATCGATATGCCAGTCCAAGTACGGTACAGCGCCTAGCAGAACAATCATGAAAGCATAGCCATTGCCAATCCACCATCACAAAAATGATGGGTTCAGAACAGCTATTTTAACCCGTCAAAAAATGTTTCTTTCACATTGAAAATGGCTCAAAATTTGCATATAAAGTAGAGTAAAATACTCTTTTTTTTCGTGTTCCAAAAAAATTTAACGATGGGCATTTTTTTGTTTTCTTCCCCTAATTTGGGGCCCCAAAAGGGAAAAATAATCTATTTGCAAAAATTTTTAACTGGATCCCCTAAGATTTAAGTACATTTCCTTTGGACTGGGTTTTTCTAGGCGTACAATTTCCATAATTGGACTGGCATATCGATTTGGTGGTATGTGTGTATTAATTCTCTCATTTCTATAATAATTTATCTGCACACTTGTATCAACTTCATCAAAAGTCATAGCAATGACTTGCCAACTTATAGTTTTCACAATTATAAAACGCTATATAGGACTCTGTCATGTGTTTCTTTTTTTTTTTTTCCGAATGGTTAAGTATTTTTTTAAAGAACCTGAGCCGGGGGCATTTTGTGTTTAACAAACACATTTTTGTTTATATTTAGTATTTGTCGAGCATTTACATAGAAATTTGTTTATACATATATTTTTTCTACTACTGTATTCCTAAACTGTAGTAGAAGAGATGACTGGTGTTAAACATTTAATTATATGACCCCACTATTTATAATGCAGTTGTAAACTTTTTAAACATGCACGGGTTATCTTCTGTCCCAGCGAGAATCAATGACTATTGAAAATATTTTAATTCATATATTTAGGGAAACATTCTAAGCACACTATGTTTCTGTATGTCTTTTGAATTTTTTTTCAGCTTCGGGTCCACAAAAGTGGAACGCCATTTATTGGAAAGACATACATACAATCATACAATAAAGAATAGTCATACAAATAAATATAAAGAAGATCAGTAAAAAAAACTAAACATGTGGTATGATACAGTTTCAAAATTTTTCACATTACATTTATAATATAATTTGAAATGCGATTATATAAATATTCGTTAGGAGAACATTGTAATACGGCGGTTTATTAATTATATTATATGATATTTATAAACAGATGGTTTTGTGAGATAGTTTTTACATTCATTTATATAATGTTATTTTCTCATCCTTGTCACCACAGTGCCCCCAGCTAGAAAACCTTAACGAAAAGTGTATACGAAAAATAGATTAGGTCTTCCCGTGGATTATGGTTTAGAAAATGAGTAAAGATGTATAATATGAAAGTATTATGTTTAGTTGACATACTTAATTACATAGTAGGTAGAGTTATTAATTATGGTGGCATATTTCTGCCACCAGATAACCATATAACTAACCAGTTAATTAAGAGGTTAACTAGTTACGTTACTAGTTAACCTGGTAAAATAATAAAAGGATGGCAGTTGTAGGCACTAACATGCATTTATTTCCCGTTATGATCTTTTATTTATTGAAAATATTTAGTTACGTAGTTACGTAACTAGTTAACCACATAACTAACTAGTTAATTAAGAGGTTAACGAGTTACGTAACTAGTTAACCTCTTAATTAACTAGTTAGTTATATGGTTATCTGGTGGCAGAAATATGCCACCATACTTAACATCATTGACAAGAATTATCTTAATAAATAAAATAAACCACAATTCCATGTCTCCTAACGGAATAGTTTATGGACATGTTTCTATTACCGTATCAAGAATTTTATATAATAACATTCTTCATTTATACTGTGTAAAATCTCCTTTGAAAACATTCAGTTAGCCACACATACCCACAAACCTATGGCTTTTGTCGTAAAATAAAACTTTGAGCAGTTTTTGATAGTAAATACATTTTAACAGATCATAATTTCATATTTTACAAGTTCTCTTAAATACAGATAGTTTTATTCTTGTCCATTATTTTTTCAATTTCAACCATGTGTTGTTATTGCGTACTGGAGTTGTTGTTGCGGACAGGTTGTGAATGTGGCATCCATGTTTTAGGTGTTATTGGTGTACTTCTTCTGCTTGTATTTAATACATTTACCTGTAACATAGGAAATGATATATATACAGGTAAATCATATTGTAACATATTCATTCATGACTGGACACCTTGCTATAATGCGGTAAAACAGGAATTGAAAACCAGGCAATCTGTATGATTGAAGATGGGACCAGATCCTGGCCAGGTTCTATAATACTGGTGGCAAAGGCTTTGTCACTTTTCCTAATAAACTGTGAAGCTGACTAAACACATCTTGTAGACAAACAGCGGACACTGACAGATAAGCTGTCACTACGGTACTGGAATACATCAAACATGGAAATATTATATCCATAGTCTTTTCTCTCATTATATAATGCGAAAGATGAATTATTGATTAAGGGATAATAATGTGTATTATTATAGACGTTGAAATATCAAAAGTCACCACCCGCTTTTCAAGCTTTAATCAACAAAACGACTATCATATCAACAAATACATTTTTCCATATCAATGTTAATTTCTTATCTGTATAAACACAATACCGATTAGAGTCGGTTTTGTTTTGTTTTATTTTTATTTTAAATAAATATGATAAAAAAATACATTGTATGACACGAAGAAGCCTTCATTAAATTTCTGCAATTGACTAAGGAGTTTAAATAATTTTTTAATCAAGATGCAAAACTAATGCAACCAACAACGTAGCGCCTTGTCACATACTGCACGATTGTCCATGCTGACTTGGAACAACATTTGTGTATATTGGCAACAAACTTTCAATATGTTAACGGTTAAGCTATGATTCCTTTAATGGAAAGTTGTTCGTAACATATGAATCCATGAGACACAAAATATTATCTGTTAAAATACATGTACAATGTACATCCACTGTAAGAACACAACTTAATTGTTAAAAACTCTTCAGAGCAAGTGTTTAGTGAAGCAACTATGTTAATCTAAGAGGAGGCACTACTAACAACAGAATCACAAAAAAAAATCACAAAACCAAAACGTATTTAATTTATTACTCAAAGCATTTGAGTTATTATTTCTTTTTGTCCTTTTCCATCTTCATCTCACCGTCTCTGAAAAGAGACAAAACATTTCAGTCAACTAAACATATATACGTGCAAAAATGTTATTTGAAGTGAAAATAACCAATAGAATGTTGCAAGTGACTGAAATGTGTTGTACCTTTCCAGGAAAGTGACTGAAATGTGTTAATTAATTAATGCTGATCGAGAAAGTAATATGGCATGTTCGACTGTGGTGCTTTTCCGAGTACTAGTAGATAATTGGAATATGTTGTCCCTTTACAAGAAATTATTAACAAATTAAAATTGGGCACTTACATAAGATATTTGTCCGTCATCTAAGCGACTTCTGCTAGACACATAAGTTGGTCGGCAACACCAACATCCGAGATGGTCTGTATCATCTACGGGACGCCTCAACGCACCAACACCCAGAATATTCCCCGTCCAACACCTGTATACGAATATAATAAAATTCTATATGTAATACTTTTTGCTATTTCATTGTTTTTATGACTTAAAAGATTCATTAAAACCGTGTTCGCGAAAACATTTTAGTTTTAACATACATGAATTTATCAAAGCTCGATTGCGAAACAAGTTTTTTGCAACTTATCTACTATAATCACTTTCGAATCCGCTTCCTGGAACCAACCTGTACTTGTATCATATGAAGAAACATGTTCGTGACCCGATTTGGCTCGAAACTATGAACTTTGGGTTGAGAGACAGACACCTTAACCTCTAGTGAATCACAGGAACTTGAAATTCTATCAAATAACCAATATTAATTATAATTTCCAAATATACCCCCTATATACTATAAAAAAACTATATATAAAACTATTTTTTTATAGTATATAGGGGGTATATTTCGCATATTATCGTTAATAGTGATAGAATTTCAAGTTCCTGTGAGTGAATACAGATTAATAAATTTCATGAGGGCGACCCCTTTTTACAATGCATATTTAATGAGAAATTATCTTTGATAATATATTATATTTTAGATATAAAGATACTGACCCACATAGTCTCATACAACATAACAACAGACAGGTCAACAACAGTAACGCAGCACAACATGCTGTGATCCCTAGCAACACTTGCAGCCAAACTGGAACTGTAAAATTAACAAGAAAAATCAGTTTTCATTAAAAAGGCCTCCTAACTAATAGGTTACACAAAAATTCTAACAAATCGAATACTTAACATGTGTGTATAGATCACAAAAGATGCGACAGTTTATTATATATTTATAAATGAAATTTTGGGAAATATTGATGAAATAAAATGCATATCTTCATTTTTCGTATTTTTACTGCAAACATTTTGTTTTCACTGCTGTGAACATATTTGCCGTATTTTCTCTGGTGACTTGCCGACTAACTTCCTTATAAATTCAGCCAATACAAACGATTAAAGGGGAAGTCTTTCGAATTGCAAGGTCAAAAAAAGGTATATATAATACACAGTATTTTTAAGTTTTTTTCCATACAATAACAGGATTTATTTTCATCGAGTGGTATGAAAAATAGTTCACGACTTGCGGCAATATCCTCTATTTATTGTTCAACTCTGGTAAAAAGTGTTTTAACAATGTTAATATATTTTACTTTAACTCTGAGTTACATAATAATTATTATATAGGTAATATAATTACATTTTCTTTACGTGATTAGGTTTTACAACAATTTAACACTAGATGATCAAGAATACATTCTTGCACATTCTGACTTTATAATTAAAAGTTGTGAGTAAAAAAAATCGTACTAACTGTCGTTTGTGTAGAGGTATAATTGTGGTGGTGGCGGTGGTTCAGTTGTTGCCGGCCCCTGTGATTCTATTATACGTAGACATTTAATCAAAACCGCTATGAATAACATCCAATATGGATGACCACAGATTCCAGCCATTTCTGAAAATTTATAGACACCTGTGTCATTGGTAGGCAGAGGGTTTGACAGTATGATTTACGTCCTTACATCTTCGTTGTTACTTGTTTCCTCTTGAATTCAATCATAGATTATCGAAGAAATTCAAGTGAGTCTGAATGAAAGTCTGAATTGTAACTTTTAATTGTTTAAACTAGCCGAGACTCCCTTAGAACCTAATGTATGTAAAAAATCAAGTGGTATAACTTTAATTTGTTGTATCCTTATAAAATATGTATACGTTTTAATAACGAAAAAACTTGTCCATAAACATTCTTAAAAGGAAATAAAGATTATTGTCATAGAAGGAACTGACTTTTACTATTAAAATGCAAAAATGTACATGTAAATATTATTATTAAAAGCACTTATTTCCTCAAATTATTTGAATTATCAAAATGACTTACCTGTATGAATTTAAGTCTCTCTATTTAAACATCCAAATATAAACGGCTTTTAAATTACCCGTATTTCAATCTCGGCTTATAACGGAATTTAAGTTGCACTGGAAATTGTCGTTTTTTGAATCGTATCTTATCATTGTTTACATTAGTAGTTGACTAATTGAATTGATATAAAAGTAATCACGTTATGTCAGCTATGTAAATAATAACACATTTTACATGTTGGAGTCGAACTAAAGGTAAATTTTCTTACATTTTTTTCTGTGTTGTAAATAGGATTCATTTATTGTTCCAGTCCAAATATTCGTTCTCTCAAAGTCTGAGAAGATATAGATTTCTTGGACGTTCAACACATATTTTTTATGGAATAATCGGAACTTAAACTGGTTGATATTTGTTACACATGCACGAGCAACACTGATGCACGAGAAAACTAGGAATGGATCAAGTTCAATGACTTCGGATCACTTTCCTGACTCTGACGAAGGTTCTATGTTAGATTTCTCTCCTTTTTTCTTGGCCAAATATATCGGTGTTTCAATAAAGTAACTGATTCATTAAAAGGAACACAAGTTATATTTTACAGTTTTTGTAACCAATTAATATCAACAATTTTAGTCTATATATCAAACTCAGTTCAAAGTTCACATATCACACCTTCATTAATTTAAAATGATGTAGGCCTATCCTTTAATACCCCTGTGATATTTGTGTGAGACTGAAATATATTATCAATACAAGATTTCATCTAAACCAGATAAATGGAATGGACTTGCATGTTACCCAAGTAGAGGAATGATAATAATCATTATTATACAATATCTTGAAGTCACAGAACACAACATACATATAGTAGGTTCAAAGTGTTTTACTTGTGATAACAATATATAGTAAACATGACAAAAGGTATATGATAAACACATTTACAAAATCTATTAAAAGCAATAATGACGTTAAAGTATGTACAAGTATATGCAAACATAATATGAGTCAATTACAAACACAAATGTATATACAATGTATAAAAGTAAGTAAACGAGCACATTCAACTATAAATTAACAGCTAGTGCGAATAAAAGAAATAGAACTACTTGGTTCATCATGAATAAAAAAAAACTCTTTTTTCCTAGATTACTGTGATTAAGGTAAACCATCTACAAGTGTTTTATAAGTTTTAGAAATTTCAAATCAGTCCGTGACGTGTACGTCTCCGTTACTTCTTTCTGATAGATTTTTGTCAACTCCATGCACTCCTGAAAATTGAACACACAAAAAATTAGGCCCAAGAAATTAAACCTATTATATTTTTTTTAAATTATACCAAATCAATGTGCACGTATAGGATTCTTAAAACTTCTATTCTTATTATCGCATTATGTTTAACATCAATCTGAAACGTGTGTTTTCTCTAATTAGTTTGACCTATAACAAAACAAAAATGAAACGGTTACATTTTATGAAACACTTAAGTCTACTGGAACTGAAAGGGGTAAGCCCTTGGTCGGACAAGCCTGTATCTGAATCGTGCCGTCTGACCAGGCTTTATACTGTGGGTTAACAATGTATACATGTATTTTGATACTCCTTCAACTTTGAACTCAAAATGCAAAGCAGGACAAATCCATAACAAAAATTCAGCAAATAAAGTGTCAGTAATATATAAAGATAACAAGTAAAATACATTATAGATTTGACTAAATTTGAGGTAATTATAGTCTATTTTCTTCTTCTTTTTAAACATTACCAGGAGAAGAGTTGCTTATGTTGTGACTTGTCAGAACATTATGTTCAACGCTTTTGCATTTTGCTTTAATTGTTGCTAGATATAAAAAATTAATTAAATGAAATACATAAACAGGAACAAACAGATGTTAACTATGATATACCCGACATTTATTTCCGATCATATCATGTATGTTTTTGTCTTCAACTTAAGATATATTGAAATGCCTCAGTCTGCAATTTTCATGTAATTTTGTTGTTATTAATGCTTTCGAGGGCTCACACTTTTTTCCAGACTTTTATACTTCACAACAGCAGGTGTCAAGTGTTGTGTGGCAGCTGTAAAAAGCTGTCCCATACTTAATTTCAGTGTTGTTATATTTTTCTGATCCTTCGGCGTCATTGATTCAAACACTTTAATTTAATTAAGTGTTGAAAATTGAGTACCGCTCAAGCCGGTGCTACGGGGCGTGAGGGATGTTACACTTTTTCATTCTCCCTCATGTACAGACTCAATCAAACCGAGTCTTCAGTTTTCATGTAATTTTATTGTTTTAATGCTTTCGAGAGATCACACTTTTTCCAGATTTTCAAATATACTTAACATTATGTTAAAAGTAAAATATTGCACAGCTAATGGATTAAAAAAAACTACACGAAGAAAATGTATTGGACATAGATTGATTTTTGCAGAAGATTCAAGCGCGAAGATACTCATAATTTTATATGTTATACATTGTACATACTTTATATATAACATTTGTCCGTCATCTACGCGATCTGTCTGAAACATAATGTGGTCTACAACACCAGCACCCCATATGATCCGTGTCATCCATTGGTCGTTTTAGTGCTCCAACACCAAAAAAATTCCCTGTCCAACATCTGTAAAATATATAGCGTTATTGCTCCTTAGCCACTTTATGTTGTATGCATTTCAAAATGTAAGAAGTCGGAATAGTTAATTAATATCATTTGCCAAAAAATGAAAATAAATGTACCATTACGAAGAAACTTGCATATTAACTTATACAACAGACGGAATAACGTCAACATTGAAATAGGTGTTTAAGAAATATGTCTATAGAACGTGTAACAGAAAAGATTCGAAAACTTTAAACAATGTTGCAGAATTCTATGAAGTTACGAGTTACTAGTGTTGTGCAAGTGCTTTTTTTCAAAAGCTTTTTTAGAGGCTGGTGCGTGCTAGGGCAGGGTAAAAGTAAAGTCATCCTTGTGTTTGTAAAATATTAGACTCACCCACACAGTCGCATACAGCACAGTGTTAGACATGTCAATAATAGTAACGAAGCTGTTACTGTAGTTATCCCCAACACCACCTCTAACCATACCGGAACTAAAAAAAAAATGTCATATATTGTAGTGTGTCGACGTTTTTTATATAGCATTGTAAGATAGTTTATCTACTGGATTTGCCATGCTTTAAATTTGAAACAGTCCATTCGAAGTTTACGGGATTTCAATATCAAAATAATAAAATTTAGCTAACAACAGATTGTAAAGACTAAGGAACTTGGAATATAGCAGATTAAGATGTTAAATCAAAATCGCTGAACTTTTATATTATCTAATATATTGTATTCGGTGACCTATGTCCTTTTAAACGAGGGTTTCCGTGGCCCTGTGGTTATGGTGGCTGACTTCCAATCACTTGCCCCTCACAGAGCACTTCGGGTCTGAATCCCGGTGAAAGCTATACAGCTAGCATGCGAAAGGTCGATGATCCTTCTTAGGAGCCCACCCGTTCTTTTCCTTATGTTTTAGCGCATCTTTTAAAATGAAAATATCAATATTTAACATATCAAATATACATGTATTCATGCAATCTCTCCAGATATTAATACAAGTATATATTATAGATATACATGTATGTAACATAGATAAAAAGAAATACATACTTTCACTTGTATATAGATAAATAAGTGGTGGAGATCCACTTGTTGCTTGTCCACTTACAGACCCCATAACTGAAATCATTAAAGATTATAAATGTGTAAAAAACAACTTTTGAATGCCATAGAAATATAAATAATCTTACGCACGTTATCTTCCGATACAGTTTAAACATAGATTTCGCTATATTCACTGTTTAATGCTGCAAGTATTAATTGAATTATTATTTCTCTTGATTTGATAGCAACATTTAAATATAGTCTAGCCTCTCGTTCTCTGTTGTGCAACACTGTTTCTAACGTAAATACATATACAGTATGCTTTTTAATGAAGCAATCGTAAAATTTAAAAGTGCAAAAAAATAAAAATACAAAAACCCTCAACTATGTATTTCGATCGTAGACTTAGTCTCTCCTGGTAATATTAAGTCCTAACACTTGCGTACGTAGTTTTATATGTGTGTTTATTGAATAAAAGAAAATAAAGAAAAAAATGTACCTGCACATAAATCCGGATGGAATCAGCCGAATAAATATCAAATATTTTCATTTGTGTAAACACTAGAATTCAAGATGAATTGGGAATGGCGTTTCGTGAATAATATCTTATCTTTCCGCAAATTAATGATCGGCTTGTTGAATTAATTTAGCTTTAGTTGTAAACATGACAAGTTTGTAAACATTGTAGACTAAATACCCATGTCAAATATGTAGACAGTCTTAACTATATAGTTCTTATATGACATAGTATACGCCATAGGAAATAAGTCATCAAAATATTGTCTGAATAATGTTCTAAATTTAAAATTTATATCATTATTTACCCTGGCATTTCTAAAATGGAATTGTCCAGCTTTTTGTTTTGGAACTGTTCATTGGCATTTTTGTGTATTTCTTTTACATAAAAAAATTGGTTCAAACAAGACAAATGAGCCGAATGCCTGTGATTACGATGTTCACTGCATTTTGTTATTTTTGAACCATCATATTAAATATATATTGTTCACGGCTTTTTTTCCATTACAACCTTAAACATTCAAAAAAATATATAATCTACTTAAGATTTGTACATACAAAAAAATAAAATAACAATAAATAAATAAATAATAAATAATAAATAAATAAATGAATGAATTACCAGAATTAAATATAGTGGTGTTCGACTCGAATCCGTCGCGTAAGAAATTTTCACAAGCAAGTATATCTTCACGACACACCGTCCTGGAAAAAATAGATAAAAAATTGGAATTTTGTTTTAATATTTTCGTATTTATTGCGGAATTTCTACGCTAGTACAGAGCGACAAAATGCCAGAGGAGTCGACAAACAAACGTGTTAAAGCAGAGGATAAGGCTGTCACAAATTTTCGAGAGTATTTGAGGATAAAAACTGTTCACCCAGAACCTGACTATGGTAATAAGGTTTGAAACAACTAAATCATAGCATGTTTTTATTTATTCTTTTTTATTTATCTCCAGAATTTAATATGCACTTGGTTTTCTTAAGTGTACCCGAGCCTGATGAAGCTGAGTTATTCCATAACTGCTATCAAAGTGTAACACAGATGTGTTAAACTAAATTGGACAAGAGAGCTGTAGCTTTTCAGATACAGTAAAGATGCTAAATTTAAAATATGCCTGATAAATGATCTGTAGTAAACAAATGTTGAGTTGAGTCCTGGAAATTTAAGTTTTTAACAACATTTTTGTTTTTCATTTCAGATGGAGCTATAGCTTTCTTACAAAGGCAAGCTGATGAAATTGGTTTATCATTCAGTACTGTTGAGGTAACCCTTACTTTTACACTTAAGATTATTTTGCATATTGGTTTTGAAAATTAATAATTTTTTTTATTAAATATTTATTAACAATTATTTTGAAATAAAAGAAGTTTCTAATAGTGCTTCTTATGTTCATTTACTGAACAAGCCTAAATTAGAAGAAACATGTGTTAAAATATATTTTGGTTATTCTCTCTATACAAGTCAGATCTACATGTATGTGATATTAGAAATATTTCATGTGTTATAGGTGCACCCTGGAAAGAAGGTGGTGATTATGACATGGGAAGGGGAAGATCCTACATTACCCACAATCCTCCTGAACTCTCACACAGACGTTGTACCAGTATATCCTGTATGTAACTCTATACTGGCATGCGAGCAGTTCCCGTACAGAAGCAGTACCCGTATTTTTCATTTAAACGCTTGATTTTTACTTGCATTCTTTAAAAATTCATTTCAAATCAAGCAGATATATAAACGAGACAAAATCTAAGTGTCAGTTCGGCAATACGCATTAAAAGTCTCATTTTAAATCACTTTCACCTGTGCGTCGTCAAAACGTGACCTTGTTTTCTCTGGGGGATTCCGTCCTTGCGCGCATGCGCAAAAATATTTACACGTGAGGCTTGTTAAAGGGTTTTCCACTAACACCAACTGTTTACAGATAAGTAGGCAATGTGATTAAAACTTGTTTAATTATTAGAATTTTGACCAATATTACTATTTAAAATAATTTTATGGTTTTGATGCGTAAAATATCATGTATACAAGCATGCTATTGCATGTGAATGCGTTGGGGTAACGGTACCGGGTAATAGATACCCGCGTTTAGTCTACGGTCTATTTCCTGAATTACATCTATTTATTTCTTAGATAATGGTCTTTTCAACAATTGTAAATGAAAAATAGGTCCGATATAATAAGATTGTATAATTACAATGGGTTAGATTTTATGTAACTCCTCTTCATACAAAATAATCAATAATTTCGGTACCCCATATGAGGCCTCATAAGTAAGGGTTATTCTATGTTTAGAACATGATGGAATTTCCATGATTTGTGTGACGAGCCGAATATTGATGTGTAAAATTCAAATTTTGGTGAGTGAGCGTAATAAAAAATAATGTTTAAGTAAATACGATTTTTGTAAGGGAACTGCTCGCATGCCAGTATACAATAATATTATTATTGTGTTCTATTATTCAAAATTATGCTCTGAACTTAATCATAACATTATGATACAAATAGATACAATTTATTTCATGCTTTCCGGTGTTTTATTGTAATATATCAGATGATTATATTCTGATAAACCACTAGTGAAATTTATAAAATATAATTTTCACTGTAGCCGGACTATATCTGAATGCGGATGAAAAGAAAATCATAACTAAATGGAATAACAGGCGGAAATAAATTCCATCATGCGTAAATTTTGCTTCTTTAGGAAAAGAAAGTCGATGTCATCATACATAATGTTAAAAAATGTAACAAAATTAGAGAAATGTAACAGACCTATATTTCAAAATTTATAATGTGACGTCATGATGTGATGACGTCACAAGGGAGAATGCGCGACGTTACGCGGCAAAATTAGTAAAAACATACTTAAAATCACTATAAAAGCATGAAATAAAAAGAAAATTTATTTGTTTTACATATAAGATTGAAATATATTTCATTCGTGAACACCAGCTATTATATTTTCACTCGTGGCTACGCCACTCGTGAAAATATTGCATCTGGTGTTCACTCAGTGAAATTATATTTCAATCTTACATGCAAAACAAACAAATATCCTCTATTTATATACACATGGGTGAAAGTTTTCAGGATTATTTCTTAAGTTCAGGATTCTCAGTCTTCTGAAAGCCTTCTATTTCCTATGAAAAACTATAGAATAACTGCTTAATTCAGGATTTTCAGGATTTTTAAAATTTCCAACTTTCACCCATGTATACATGTATTTTAGGTTGTAATTGCATTATTAACCAAATACTTCATATAGACCCTAAGACCTCATGTTGACCTTAAGGTTGCATGTAACCTACGCTAAAAAGCCTTTGACTTTATCTCAATCCATTGAGAAGTTGCAGCACTTTGAAATCAGTTTTGATGGAAAAAACAATGCAAAATTGGTGATTTTTGGCAATTTTGAGATGTCCCATTGTTGCTCATGTAGTAATGGGTAAATATTGGAAAAATAAAAGAAAAATTGTATATAAAAATGTACTTGAGTATTGTTTTGATATGTATATAAATAATAATTACAGGAAGAATGGAAAGTAGACCCATTTAGTGCTGATATAGATGGAGAATGGTGACATTTATGCCAAGAGGCACACAGGTATATGTTTACTTGTTTACATTGTATTTTTGGATGATGTTTTTTAGGGGAAACAGATAGATACATTTTGTATTTCTGTCTTTAAGATGCAATTATCAAAATGATGTATGTGTTACATTGATGGCATATAATGTACAATGTTATGTTTGAGGTTTATGTACATAGTAATGATAATATGAGGACATCAGTTGAGAATGTTTAGTACAAAATAAATAAATTACACACTTACATTATTATTACCTTACCAATTTGGCAAAGGGATCTAGTTTTCTCATTATCCACCAGATCTACCAAGTTTTTCAAGAGTTGTTTCCCTTGAACTAATTTGAAATACAAACAAGTGTCTCCCCAGAGGTACAACTAGAAAATGGTCTAGAATATTTAAGAGAATTAAAATCTTTCTTGCATGTTTAACAGGAATAATTATATGTAGCCTGTGTGGTTTTTTTTCAAATCTTTGTAGTCTGACAGGAGTTATTGCCCTTGAACAGATAGTAAAACTATGTGCTAGAGAATATTAACTTCTGAATCATTAAATTGTCTTGTGTTGATACTAACACTTTTGATTTTAATAATTCTGGAACTGTCTTCAGTGATGGACAATACTGTGTAACTGTGTAGGCGCAGTACTTATAGTCATGTTACGATTTCATTTCTTTCAGGACATGAAAAGTGTTGGAATACAGTAAGTAAACGACCCTTTAACTTCTCATAGATGTAGTACTAAACAGTTCAACATTGATTGTGGTAATTAAGAAAGTGATTTTTTTTTTAAGTTTACAGAAAATTTAGCAGATTATTACTTATATAATGTCACAAAATTGTTATTATTTATTCTTTGATTAGATTTTTGTAACTTATGTTTTCAATAAAGACACTTTAATCCTGGCATTCATATCATAGTTTAAATTTTAAAGAGTGAAATATGTTGTTATTGTTTAAGGTATTTAGAAGCTGTAAGAAAATTGAAGAAAGCAGGACAAAAATTTAGACGAACAATTCATCTGACATTTGTGCCAGGTATATAACTAGGTTTAATTTTACTATTTAGTAGAGCTGTCATTGATAGAGACGATATCGATTGGATATTTTTCTGTCCATCAATAATTGATACACAGTTCAAAAAATCAATTATTTTAATAAATTTTTTAAATGTCTATAAATTATGAAAATTCACTAATAACATATACAAAAGCAGGTTGCCATGTCTAACACTAATCTGTTGTTACATAATGGACACATTTCATAGCAGTGATGACAAAAATATGGTCAGAAAAAAAAATCATGCAAAGGTCATTTAGAAATGGGACACAACATATTTGCATGAACAGAACATTTATTTTACCAAATCATATAAACAGGTATGAAAAAGTATAATATACAAGAAATTAGGAGTATTTATCGATATATCGGTGTATCGCCAATATTTGTCCTCCAATATATATATTGGTATATTGTCAATATGCTTTGCACTGAATCAATGACAGCTCTACTATTTAGGTAAACTGTATCTCCTCAATAAACAACAGATCTGTGCTGACTAATCCTGGTCTGCTCTGTTCACTATTCAGTCAGTACATATTTTAAAATTTTCTCGTAAAGTGATGCATGGCTTTATCCAGATTAAAGGATTGACCAGTTGATTTATGATATATAATGTGGTGAGTGTATTAGCAGGACATGTACATGTATTGGACTTTCACCAAAGTCTTCATACAATGATTTTTGTGTCGCCTCTACGGAGTAGTGGCGACATAAAGGGATCACTTCTCTGTCGTCTGTCTGTCCGTCTGTCCATCCGTCCGTCACAAAACTTGTCCGGACTACTCCCTCATAAACTACTAGTGCAATTTCATCCAAAACTTTACAGGAATGATCAGTACCCCAAGTCTAGTTGTGCATATTGTAAGCAATTTTCTGGTTCAGTGATTTTTGTCAGAGTTATGCCCTTTAATAATTTTTATTTTAAAGTTTGTCTTTGGACTACTTCTCTTATACCACTAATGCCCAATTTAAATGAAACTTTACAGGATTGATCTGTAGCTCAAGTCCTTGCGCATATTGCACGGGTTTTCCGGTTGAATGATTTTTTTGGCCGAGTTTTATGGCCCTTTGATAAAAAGGTGTTTTTTTTCTGTGTGTTGCCAGATTACACAAAAGCTTGTCCGGACTACTCCTCATAAACTACTGGTGCAAAATTTCATCCAAACTTTACAGGAATGATCAGTACCAAGTCTAGTTGTGCATATTGTCAGCATTTTCCAGTTCAATGATTTTTGTCAAGAGTTATGGCCCTTTTAATAATTTTTATATTTTAAAATTTATCGGACTACTTCTCTTATACCACATATGCAATTTCAATGAAACTTTACAGGATTGATCTGTTAGCTCAATGTCCTTGCGCATATTGCACAGGTTTTTCCGGTTTTGAATGATTTTCGGCCAGTTATGGCCCTTCGATAAAAAGATGTTTTTTTCTGTGTGTTGCCAGATACACAAAAGCTTGTCGGACTACTCCTAATAAACTTACTGGTGCAATTTTATCCAAACTTTACAGGAATGATCAGTACCAGGTCTAATTGTGCACTGTCCGTCTGTCTGTCAGTCTGTCACAAAACTTGACCCAACATGAAATTTGCCATCATGAGGCAACACATGTGATCACTGATCGCTCTTGTTATATGATTGAAATAAAATTCTTCATTTGGTGAATGTCAAAGTTGTTCTATTTTCATGTGGACAAGCCTTTGATAAACTGACAAAAAGTGCAAATTTTGTTTCCCTTCTTTTTTGCATTCGTATCTTTTTCAAAAACTTGTAAATGTTTCCAATAATGTGAAGCCCTTTATGGTTGGTCAGCTAGTGCCCTACATGTATATCTCGTTAATCCATTGATGGTTAGTTCCTGATAATTGACGGATAACTAAAGGGCCAGGTTTAATATTGCTGTTTGTTTATATCAATATAACCTAGAGTCAGGGAGAATATCACTGTCTTGAGGCTGGGTTTCGCACCACGGGGAAATTGTTAGTCATGTACTAATATTGTATAAATGATATTTTGTTTATTACAGATGAAGAGACTGGTGGGATATTAGGTATGAAATTATTTTTAAAGCGTGAGGAGTTCAAGAAGATGAATATTGGTTTTGCATTAGATGAAGGTAAGTCTGCAGTATTCCAAATTTATTACTTCAAACTTTTCATATAATGATACTTATGTGGGTAATCTCCCTTGTGATTTAAATAATGATTATACTGACTTGAGTGATATCCCTTGTCTGGTTTCCTTGTTTTTGTTCAACTAAGCAGTCTTTACAGTCTTTAATAGTTGTCATTTTTGCATCAAATTAATCAAAGCATTAATTAAAGCAAGATAAAACAAGAGCACCGCTAGGCGGAGCATTATATGCCCGAAAGTGTTTTTTTTTTAGTAAGGATGAAGCATTTGTAAGACATGGAATTCGCTGTTCATCCTATAAAATTTTACAGCTGTAGGTTTGATTAAAATACTTAAGAATTAATAATGACCTTAAACCTTTTGACCTTGTGACCCCAAAAATCAATAGGGGTCTTCTAAACCTTATATAGGGACAATCCAATCCCTAAAAAGCTTTGAAATATTGTGGGCCCAATTGGAACTTTAATTATGCTCTAGAAACTGTTTTCAGGTATGAAGGTAAAAGTGACTTTGACCTTGTGACCCCAAAATCAATAGGGGTCTTCTACCCAATATGGATAATATCCTATGAAGGTTTGAATATTGTGGGCCAAATGGAACATAACGTTTTGCCCCGGGAAACTGTTTTTGGTTTTAAGGTTATTGTACCTGGAACCTTTGACCAGTGACCCCAAAATCAATAGGGGCTTTTGCCCCCATATGGACAATCATCCTATGAAGTTTGAATAATTGTGGGCCAGATGGAACTTAAGTTATGCTCCAGAAACTGTTTTTCAGTTTTAAGGATAAAGTGACCTTGACCCTTGACCTTTTGACCCCAAATCAATAGGGTCTTCTACCCAATATTGACAATCATCCTATGAAGTTTGAACACTGTGGGCCAAATGGAACTTAAGTTATGCTCTGGAAACTGTTTCCAGTATCAAGGTAATAGTGACCTTGACCTTTGACCTTGTGACCCCAAAATCAGTAGGGGTCTTCTATCCAATATGGACAATCATCCCATGAAGTTTGAACATTGTGGGTCAATTGGAACTTAAGTTATGCTCAGGAAACTTTTTTCAGTATCAAGATAATAGTGACCTTGACCTTTGACCTTGTGACCCAAAAATCAATAGGGGTCTTTTACCCAATATGGACAATCATCCATGAAGTTTGAACATTGTGGTCGAATGGAACTTAAGTTATGCTCCGGAAAACTGTTTCAGTTTTAAGGTTCATAGTGACTTGACCTTTGACCTTGTGACCCCAAAATCAATAGGGGTCTTCTACCTAATATGGAACAATCATCCTATGAAGTTTGAACATTGTGGGTCAATTGGAAGTTAAGTTATGCTCCGGAAACTGTTTTCAGTTTTAAGGTCATAGTGACCTTGACCTTTTGACCTTTTGACCCCCAAATCAATAGGCCTTCTACCCAATAGGACAATCATTCTATGAAGTTTGAACAATTGTGGGTCAATTGGAAGTTAAGTTTATGCTCCGGAAACTGTTTTCAGTTTTAAGGTCATAGTGACCTTGACCTTTGACCTTTTGACCCCAAAATCAATAGGGGTCTTCTATCCAATATGGGCAATCATCCTATGAAGTTTGAACATTGTGGGCCAAATGGAACTTAAGTTATGCTCCGGAAACCAAATTGCTAACGGACGGACGGACGGACAGACAGACGGACGCCAGGGGGTATAACATAATATGCCCTTTCAGGCATATAAAAAAGAAATAAAGAATTTGAAGTTTACAGAAGAGCTAAAATATTTTGAGAAAATCAAAGTAAAGAAAAATGTATTAAAATTTTAAAGAAGTAAAAAGATTCATTTCAAGATTCAAGTAATAATTTACATGTTATCTGCAATTAATCATTAATGACTGAGTTTCAGTATTTATCACTACATGTAATTACTAATGCAGTAAGGGCTATCTTTGCATATTTTTACCACTTTTTGGTAATTTATGTTGATTGTTAGTGTCATTTGCAATGTGTAAATTACTTTTTTTTGTTCACATTTAAAATTAACTTTTAAAAACATTTTCAAATTTTTTATGAAAATTAGCATGAACCTGGAGGCATGCTGCTGTAACAAATACTTGTAGTGAAGTAAATGAAAAAAGTCTCTAGCTTTGTGATCATGTGATCAAAAGCTGCCTGTTATCTGTCTAACATCATTTGGACATTGGTATATTTTTGGTGCAAGTAAATAAACTAACACTTCAATTAATTATACCAATGGCAAAGTGTGCTACCTGTGCATTTTTCTAATTATGACCTTCAAATATTGATCATTTATATAGTTGTGTTTGTGTAATAACACTGGACAGTGCTTGAACATGATTGTGGCCATGTTGATTTACTTTTGAATTGTTAATCTGTTACACTCCAGATCTGATTTTTTTTTGCATGTGTCATTGAAGTTTGACCTTGGAGATTTTTAAATATGGCCCAGTGACCAACTTTTGTTTAGTAGAAATTATGACCATGTGAAGCAGTTGTTCTCAGGTGAGCAAAATAGCGCAATCATTGTCCTTTACATTAACTAGCCTAGGTTTATGTTTATAAATTGAGGAAAATTTGCTTCCACTTTTGAAGGAGAATATAATATTGAATCAAACATTCAAGATTCTAATTAACATATGAATCATTGATATTTATTTCAGGGCTAGCTAATCCTAAAGATGCTTTCACAGTATTCTATGGTGAACGAAATCCCTGGTGTAAGTTGGTTCTTTTATAATATAGAAATTGAAATATATCAATTAATAGAATAAGGGTTGTCTTAATTTTAAAATAAATTTTAGTTGACAAGAATTTCTCTTTTGGAATCATTATTAAAATAAAGGACAAATCTTTAACACATTGTTTCTTGAAACACGAAAACAAAGATATTTCAAAAGTTCAGAGTTTGACAGTTTTAACTATTATTGTTTGATGTTGTTTCTTGTTGAATTTGAATAGCTACAACATATTAAGTGGCAAAAATTTGAATAAATTAATATTTTTATAATACAGGGGTTCTTGTTAAATGCCATGGTAACCCAGGTCATGGGTCAAGATTCATAGAGAATACAGCAGCAGAAAAACTGGTATGTACAATGTTTATATTATAACAATTATTATCTTGATAATCACACAAACTAAACGGGGCAATGGATACTGCCCGAGTTTTGAAATATTTTCCTTCCTTGACAAAAGTAGCAGGCATTTCAGGGGTGATTATTAGCTTGTCTGTTTCGAGGGAAAAATTGAGCTTCATCACACACCCGTGCCAATTTTGCAACTCCGTAAATATGGTATTGCACGGCCGTGCATATATTGTGACGTGACGTCATTAGAGTTATACAAACATAGTGTAAAGATGTGCTAAATGTTAGCGTTGTACTATAGGCGCGTCAATGAAAAATGACTCTTATTTCACTTTAAACGGTCTTTATTTTGGGTATGTGATAAATAGAATATTAAATTGTGTAAATTCATTACTGAAATTATTGCACTTGTTGAGTAATATAATATGCTCCCCAGAGGCTCGCATAATAGAATTTTATTCAACTCATGCAATAAATTCAGTATTGAACTTATACTCATTCAATATCCTCTATATTATGATTGCTGTGTCATCATTGGTTTTGTTTTTGTCGTGCAAAAGCTTTAATGTAGCCTATTATTCAAACATTTCAAAAAGTATCAGCACTTTCTTATCATGACAAGGTGCAGTTGTTAGACTAGAGGGGCATAATTTTGAAAGCAATGATTTTGGAGTAATGCCCCATATGCATATAATAGGCAAAATACGTAAATAAGCAAAGGATCTGTTTATTCAGTTGAATTGTCAAATTCTTTTTCATTATCTAAATATGTTAGAATTTTACTAAAGTACCAATATCTAAAATGTTTTTATGATTGTTACATAAAGATGATAAAATTGTGAGAGATTTTTTATGTCTTAAGCTTATAATATTTTGAAAATTACCTTCAGATGGTGACGTGATGTAGTAATGCATCAGTTGTGAAAAGGATCTATTCCATTGCACAAAGTCGTCAGCATACAGGATAAAGCTATAACTTCAAGTTTTCCACTTGAATATTTCAATATTGTACTGTTCTTTTCACCTTTTCATTGCCAATAGCATAACAAGAAGCATAAAGCAACAGTTATAATTGAGCCGTGCCATGCCAAAACCAACGTAATGGGTTTGTGACCAGCATGGATCCAGACCAGCCTGCGCAGTCTGATCAGGATCCATGCTGTCCGCTTACAAACCCTATAACAAGTAGAGAAACTGATAGTGAACAGCATGGATCCTGATCAGACTGTGCGGATGCGCAGGCTGGTCTGGATCCATACTGGTAGCAAATCCATTATGTTGTTTTTGTCATTACACGGCTCAATTATAGTATTACATATTTGTTCATTTCAGAGAAGAGTGATCAATAAATTCCTGGATTTTCGAGGCATGGAAGAAAAAAAGTAAGAAAATTTGCATGATTTCCTTGTTTTTAATAAGGGTTTTAAGATTTCAAGTTTTACCCTACAGTTTGGAAATTTATTTTCTGAAGACTTTCATTCTTTAGAATTAAGGTTTAATTTACAGCATATTTTAAAACATTTTGACTATTTGTAATTTTAACAGGAGCTGAATTTTAGCTGATTTATTTGAATATGATTTTCTTTTGAAGGTTAAAAAGCTCCGGCTGTCTCACATTAGGGGAAGTAACTACTATCAATTTAACCATGCTAGAGGTAAAATTTGTTTTACTGTTAATTTCCTTTATGTGTAGATTTATAGTGTCTGGTTTCTTTTTTTATGAAAAATAAATACCCAACTACTACTCTGATCACAACCATGTTTCTTCATATGACATCAGTACTGGTTCGTTCCAGGAAACGGACTCGAAAGTGATTAAAATAAGTTGCAATAACTTGTTTCGCAGTTGAGCTTAAATAAATATGTTCAAACCAACCAGATACCCAACTTCTGATCACTCAAAATATTTCAGTCATCATATTCTGACAACATGCTAAGTTAAAGTGACATTATGCTCATATTTTCAGAGTCAAGTTGAGCTGAATTGACTTTATATTTCAAAAGATTGACTGTCAAAATGGTGTTTGACCAACAGTTGATATTGGAAAATGTTTAGGATAAAATTATAAATCTGCCAAAAATTTAAAAAGACTGCCTCACTCTTTTTATTAACTAAGCGTTACACATAAATTCTAACGGACATTTACAGAAATTTCATTCGGATCTGTGTGTTATTAATTGTTAATGCGAACTTAATTATTAAATTAAAAGGGATTATGGCAAACTGAAAACCTTATTTTGATCTTCACCCGTTCACTTACTATATACCCTTGGATGGGCATAATGTCACTTTAAAGAAAGTTGATTGAACAGTTGTAATTCTGCCTATATGTCTATATGAAAACTCCCGAAAACTTCCATAACAGGAATTACTTTATGTATTATCATTGTATATGTTTACATTGCAGGGAGGTGTACAGTTTAATGTAGTACCAAATGAAATGAAAGTAGGTAAGTATGTTACCAAAGAAAAACAATTATTATTCTTATACTTTATACACAATTGTTTTACACTATTGTTTATTTAGACACATCAAGAAAATTTTGTTCCTGCTTTGTATAAAATTAGAGTGCTCAATATAGATAATCTAATGTGATTTTGTTTACTTTCATGATATAGAATAATAATAATAATAGAAAATATTTATTGTGTATATCATAATCGAGTGTAAATAACTTTCAACTTTGTCAAACAAGTTGAGAATTTTAAGTAATACCAATTTACAAGCACCATTTAAATTGGTGAGGTAGCCTAAAAGTTAGAGTTGTCCCCTCTCATCCGGAGGATTATGGGTTTGAGCCTGGCCAGTACTGGTAAGTCCAGGAAGTGAACTCTAGACAGGTCCTAAAATCTGGTTGCTTTCATCAAAATCATGCTAAATTGCTCTTGTTTATCAATTTCTGACTCTAATATGGTTATGTATTTCTGACTATTGTAAATATTATCATGTTCATCTATTTCTGACTATTGTAAATTTTATTATGTTCATGTATTTCTGACTATTGTAAATATTATCATGTTCATCTATTTCTGACTATTGTAAATATTATCATGTTCATCTATTTCTGACTATTGTAAATTTTATTATGTTCATCTATTTCTGACAATTGTAAATATTATTATGTTCATCTATTTCTGACAATTGTAAATATTATAATATTTATCTATTTCTGACAATTGTAAATAGTATTATGTTCATCTATTTCTGACAATTGTAAATATTATTATGTTCATCTATTTCTGACAATTGTAAATATTATAATATTTATCTATTTCTGACAATTGTAAATAGTATTATGTTCATCTATTTCTGACAATTGTATATGTTATTATGTTCATCTATTTCTGACAATTGTAAATATTATTATATTTATCTATTTCTGACAATTATAAAAAATATCCTGATGAAGGTCTTGAAAGACCGAAACCGGTAGATCCTAGAATAAACCAGTTATAAACCATCCTGATGTTTGATGTGTATTCTCTCCTTCCCTTGATTTACTTGTTAATTATAAAAATTATTATAATATTTATCTATTTCTGACAATTGTAAATCTTATAATGTTAATCTATTTCTGGTTATTTTAGGGTTTGATATTGGTATTGCTCCTACAGTAGATCTTGTAGAATTTGAGGAGAAAATAAAAACCTGGTGTGAAGAGGCTGGGGAAGATGTCACTTACAGTTTCATTCAGGTAATGCATTGATTTGTGACTTACTCAAAGTGTGGTACATTTTGCCATTTTTTAGCCCAACTTTTAGTTCAAAGTTGTCAGATTTTCTTATCACTTAATATCCATTATCTATCATTAATTTAATGTTATTAGCAACTTTTTTCAAATACGAAAAGAACATTTCATGTCAAACGGTTTGTAAGATTTTGAAGAAACTATACAGGAATGATCCTGGGGTATAAAAAAGTACAATTACGGTGATAGTCTGATGCAAGTCACTTGAGTTAACTATGATTATTTTCATGTTATGAAGCTATTCAGCTAGCTTGCCAATGGTCAACAATTCTACTGAGGTGCCCCCTGTGTCTGAAATATTGCATATATGTAGCACCGGAGGTTCGCCTCCACTAGTTAAACTGAAAAGTAGTCAAGTGTCTTGTTTGCCTTAAAATCTTATTTAAAAATATTACAAAGTTTTCATAAGTAAGTACTTTACCTATTATTGTATACAGAAATGTGATGATCAAACATTGACTAGTACAGACAAATCAGATCCTTGGTGGAAGGCCTTTTCTACTGCATGTGAATCTCTGTAAGTATTTAAACAAATTTTATAATACTACACGTTTGTAACGTTGCTTTTCATTGGATAATCATGACATTTATAAAGTTTTATATACACAGCTGCTGTCGATTTATAAAAAAAACTCGCTTAAATCCTCTAAAAATGATGCTTGCTGTATTATAAATTCATTATAAATATTTCTGACAAGTTATATGGCCGTATCACCTAGCGGCTTGGGTTATATTTACAAACAACCGTTTATATAGGGCCATATAACATGTCAAAAATCTTTATAACTAATAATATACTCCTTGTTCTTCAAAACAGTTAGCAGGACTTACTTCCCTTGTACCATATCCAGTTCAAAAATTTTTATTTACCACTTTACATTTAACCTGTATTATAAAATGTGAAAAAACAAACTGATAACACTTATTTGGTTATTTTATGTTACCAAATAAATGTTTTTTTTCTGCAGGCTCCATATTCTGATAAGCGTTATTACTTTAGATGACACGGGTCATAATGTAGGACACATATCAGAACAGGTTAAACACCAAAACATGTAGATATATTCTGCTGTTATTATTTCTGCAATACTAAAACTGACTGCAGAATATGCAGAAATAAAGTCATATAAAAGTATATAAATTGGAATAGCACTTTAATGGGTTTCTTTATATTAATGATATACAATATAAATTGTCATATCTTTATTTATCTTGACAAAACAAATTATTAATGAGGACATTGATTGTGTGAGTGGTAGTGTGAGTTAAACCCCAACCCAATCATTTAACAATTCATATAGGGTATGTCCAACCTGGGGTTTTTGCCTGTAAACTATAACTAAGAAAGAAAAATACAGGTTTAATATATGTTATCAATATTTATCCCTTAAATCATTTAAGTTATTCATTTTACTTAACACATGTCTTAATTTCTAAAGGATTATACTTGAGTTCAGGGATGGATTTTGATAAAAAAATGATCCAAGCACATTATTTGACTAGCAGCATTCTATGCCATGTTATATTTGTAGATTGACACTTTATTTCTTCACTACAGGGGTATGGTACTCGAGAAGGAGATTTTCCCTGCTGGTACAGACAGTAGGTTTCTAAGGGAGGTAAGTCAGATTATACTTATATTTCAGGTTGGTAATTATTATAATCATTATATATTTATAGTTATATAGGGATGAATGTTGCCAAATGGTTTAGGCTGTTGTATTTAGACCACTTGCCCCTTAGCTGTGGGGTCAAAACAGGGATTTAGTATTCTTTTATCGGATGAAGCTATCCAGCTACCTCACAGAACGTTAGTGGTTCTACTCAAGTTCCTGTTCATGTCTGAAATGACACATGAACGGGCACCTAAGGTTTTCCACCACTTGTGAAGCTGAAAAGTATCCATATTACCTCTTCTTTGTTGGTGCTGGGACTGAATAGCATTATATTCTGTCCCAGGTTGGTGCGACATAAAACCCAACCAAAATATTTTCAGGTTTTTAATAGCTTATATGATCTGGTTTAAAGAGTTCTAATTTTATATTTTCTGATATATTGTCAGGGAATAATCAAGCAAGCATTGGTTATATGACCTCTGTATTTTACCTGTATTATGTAATGAACATATTTTACATGTACTGTATATGTGATTTTTTCTATGGGCTCCAAATTGTTTTTCCAAATTTGTCATGTTTTTATTTCTGCGGACTTTATTTCTATGGCACTTTCTTTACACAAAACAGGATATAAATTCTGCGGCTCATCTTATCGTAAGATTTTGCTGTGGTCATGGTGGCTGCTTTAGGCTCGATTTTACAGCCTTCTTGAAACTTAAATCTATGGGCTGTATGTGGTCAGTGCAGTTTGTGGGAATATATCACATTCACATGTACACATTCGCATTTGTTTATCATCATATTTTACCTGTATGTTTATATTTCAGGCTGGTTATCCTGCATTAGGATTTTCTCCGATGAACAACACACCAATATTGTTACACGATCACAATGAGTTTCTCAACGAAGATGTTTTCCTGAAGGGGATAGATGTATACTGTCAGATTATCCCAGCACTGGCTAATGTTAAATAAACTTTAAAGTGTCATATACATACATATATACAGTGCCATCTTTAATTACCTTTATATCTCTTAATATATGGATTTTACTTGATGTGCAAAATATTCATCCATTTAAAACAATATCTAATGCATCCGTTTGGTATAAACGAGTGTAATCAAGATGAAAACATAAGAAATTTATAAAGTTATTATGTGGTGTGTCTAGAATGTCCATTTTATTCATTAGACTTTATCTTTCAACAAGAACATTCAATATACCATACACTTGCAATCTGAAAAGTCTTGAAACAAAACCACAATTATATTTGCACCAATTTTATTATTTACAATGTCAAAGGCTTATTTTTACCAAAGATAAAGGAACCAGTTATTCATGCAGAAGTTACATAAGCTATGGAGAAGTTAATTTACTATGAATAGATTGATATTATTAACCAGGTTTTCCGAAGGAAAAAACTGGTTATTAGATTGAGGTATGTCGGCGGGCGGACAGGCGGGCAGGCGGGCGTAAACAATTTCTTCTGTGCGCAACTCCTCCTACATTTCTCAACGGATTTTGACCAAACTTTCACAGAAGCTTTGTCATCAAGTGCCCTGGCGCATATTGTCGGGGTTTTGCGATTAGATAATATTTGACCTAATTATGGCCCTTTGTTTTTTTTTCCTTATATAAAATATATAGTGAACAATTTCTTCTGTGCGCAACTCCTCCTACATTTCTCAACGGATTTTGACCAAACTTTCTCAGAAGCTTTGTCATCAAGTGCCCTGACACATATTGCCAGGGTTTTGCAATTGGTATATATTTGACCTAATTATGGCCCTTTGTTTTTTTTCCTTATATAGAATACATAGTGAACAATTTCTTCTGTGCGCAACTCCTCCTACATTTCTCAACGGATTTTGACCAAACTTTCTTAGAAGCTTTGTTATCAAGTGCCTGGCACATATTGTCGGGGTTTTGTGATTGGATAATATTTGACCGCATTATGGCCCTTTGTATATTTTTTCCTTATACAGAATATATAGAGAACAATTTCTTCTGTGCTCAACTCCTCCTACATTTCTCAACGGATTTGGACCAAACTTTCTTAGAAGCTTTGTTATCAAGTGCCTGGCACATATTGTCGGGGTTTTGTGATTGGATAATATTTGACCGAATTATGGCCCTTTGTTTATTTTTTCCTTATACAGAATATATAGTGAACAATTTCTACAGTGCGCAACTTCTCCTACATTTCTCAATGGATTTTGACCAAACTTTCACAGAAGCTTTGTCATCAAGTGCCCTGGCGCTCACTAAATTCCCATGTTTCTTCCAAGACATCATTCAAGTATTTTTGGCCGGGTTGCACTGGTGCAAATCCGGGTTATAGTATGGTGAATGTCGGGCGGCGGGCGGGCGGGCGGGGAAAATATTTCCGTTACAGTTTTCTCAGCAACTACTTATCACAGCCTCTTGATATTTGGCATACAGCATTGACACATGGTCCCATAATGTGGGATTCGATTTCAGGTCTGTCGCTCATCCACTTCCTGTTTATCCACTTAGTTAAATTAGTGAGATTTTTGACATTAAAGGTCAATGATAGGAAATTTTCGTAACAGTTTTCTCAGCAACTACTTATCACAGTCTCTTGATATTTGGCATACAGCATTGACACATGGTCCCATACAGTGGGATTGGATTTCAGGTCTGTCGCACATCCACTTCCTGTTTATCCACTTAGTTAATTTAGTTAGATTTTTCAACATTAATGGTCAATGGTAGGAAATTTTCGTAACAGTTTTCTCAGCAACTACTTATCACATCCTCTTGATATTTGGCATACAGCATTGACACATGGTCCCATACTGTGGGATTTGATTTCAGGTCTGTCGCTCATCCACTTCCTGTTTATCCACTTAGTTGAATTAGTTAGATTTTTTGACATTAATGGTCAATGGTAGGAAATTTTCGTAACAGTTTTCTCAGCAACTACTTATCACAGCCTCTTGATATTTGGCATACAGCATTGACACATGGTCCCATACTGTGGGATTTGATTTCAGGTCTGTCGCTCATCCACTTTCTGTTTATCCACTTAGTTAAATTAGTTAGATTTTTCGACATTAATGGTCAATGGTAGGAAATTTTCGTAACAGTTTTCTCAGCAACTACTTATCACAGTCTCTTGATATTTGGCATACAGCATTGACACATTGTCCCATACCGTGGGATTTGATTTCAGGTCTGTCGCTCATCCACTTCTTGTTTATCCACTTAGTTAAATTAGTTAGATTTTTCGAAATTAATGGTCATTGGTAGGAAATGTTCGTAACATTTTTCTCAGAAACTACTAATCACAACCTCTTGATATTTGGCATGCAGCATTGACACATGGTCCCATACTGTGGGATTAGATTTTAGATGTGTAGCTAATCCACTTCCCGTTTACCTACTGAATTAAATTTTCGACATTAATGGGTCAATGGAAATTTTTTTCGTAACATCACAGCCTCATGATATTTGGTGTATAAATGCAACCCGGCCTTTTCTGTCTTTGACCCATTTTTTTAAAATTGTGAACATACTTTTCTTGATATCGCACAAAACACCACACGCCAATATTGTTGACAAAAGAAAATGACAAGAGACGCAAAAATGCAAAAATTAAGCAAAAATAAAGTACTGTTTACCTTTCTAAAACATTTGGGAAAAAAAGGCGAATAGACAACATAAAATTTCTCAATCATTTTTGTTTGAGGAATATTAAAAAAGCCATAATTCCTCCTAAAAGTTCAATTAAAAACAAATGCCCCTTCATGACAAAGCTTCTGTGAAATATTTTGCTGAAAACCTGGTTGCATCGCATTGCAATGTTCCTTGTTTCTTTGATTTTCTGATAATTTCTTCATTTATTTACGTTACAGTCAGTTATAGTAAACTAATGCAATAAATATGTAAAATATATGGATAAAATATGTTTGTATATCAACCACACAGCAATTTTTCAGTTGGTGTAAAGGTATTCATTGATGGCTCTGTATGTACAACAAACTTTAACCAGAAATTGTTACAAATGAGTCTTGAAATCCATTGTTTTATTGAGATCTTATTGTTAAAATGCTTAGCATGCTTGCATGGAGTTAAACTAAATCATTCAAAAGAGTTTCATGTACAGTGTTGATAAATTTCTCCAAAGGAGTTCCATCTATATCATAGATAAATCACTCCAAGGGTCTTTTATGTTCATAGTTGATATTTCTCCAAAGAAGTTTCATGTACATTGTAGAGGAATCATTAACAGAGAATTTCGTGTACAGTTTAGATAAATTTCTCCAAAGGAGTTTCATGAACATCATAGATAAATCACTACCTGGGTCTTTTATGTTCATAGTAGATAAATTTCTCCAAGGGAGTTTCATGTACTGTACATTGTAGAGAAATCATTAAGAGGGAGTTTCATGTACAGTTTAGATAAATTTCTCCAAGGGAGTTTCATGTACATTGTAGAGAAATCATTAAGAGAGAGTTTCATGTACAGTTTAGATAAATTTCTCCAAGGGAGATTCATGTACATTGTAGACAAATTACTAACAGAGAGTTTCATGTACATGTCAAGTGTAGATACATAACTCCCTGGGAGTTTCATGTACATTGTATATGATATCATTGATATAACATGTTTGTCTCAGATCCCAGTCATTGAGAAGACTGGAGATAATAGATAACTACATTCGTTCAGTTTTAGTGCTGCAATTTTTTTATAAGAAAATAGTCCAACAGAAAAGTGCCTTACAACACTGTTTTGCATGTTGAAGTATAAATATGTTAAGCCGTATGAGGATGGCAATATTAATGCTAGTCTATAATACAATTATATCTATGCAGAATCAATCATGTTTATATTTGTAGGATTGTTTTTGCTCCATGTTTTAGTGGAGTATATAGCTTCTGTTCTGTCTATTGTTGACATTTCCCAGTTATACCTTCATTTATTACCCAGATTCTTAGTTATTAGTGATAATGAATGTTTTTATGAACTACTTTTTGGTGGGGTTGCATGAGTCAGTTTCTAGGTCATTGTAGCTAAAAGTAGAATTTTCTATTTCTCCTTGTGAGACAACTTTTTTACCTTTGTTTAAGTAACATACAGGGTCACTGACTCTCTTGTTAGATACTGATAATGTAGGATATGATAGAAAATGATAATTTCCACAAGAAGATGTGATAATGAATATCAACATGTTAAATTTTGTAACAGTGTGCTAAAATTGATTAGTGTACCTTTGCTTTTTAGCTCACCTGTCACAAAGTGACAGGGTGAGCTTTTGTGATCTCTTTTCGTCTGGCGTCCAGCCGTCCGTTAACTTTTACTTTAAATGACATCTCCTCATAAACCACTAAGCCAATTTCATCCAAACTTCACAGGAATGTTCCTTTGGTGGTCACCTTTAACAATTGTTCAAAGAATTTAATTCCATGCAGAACTCTGGTTGCCATGGCAACCGAAAGAAAAAACTTTAAATATCTTCTTTTAAAAAACCCAAAGAGCTAGAGCTTAGATATTTAGCATGAAACATCTTCTAGTAAGTGTCTACCAAGTTTGTTCAAATAAAAGCCCTGGGGTCAAAATTGGCACCGCCCCAGGGGGTCATTGATTTTCCCTATAAACATATAGTAAAAAATTAAAAATTCTTCTTTTAAAGAACCCATGGAGCTAGAGCTAAGATATTTAGCATGAAACATCATCTAGTAAGTGTCTACCAAGTTTGTTCAAATAAAAGCCCTGGGGTCAAAATTGGCCCCGCCCCAGGGGGTCATTGATTTTCCCTATATGCATATAGTAAAAACTTAAAAGAATCTTCTTTTAAAGAACCCATAGAGCTAGAGCTAAGATATCTAGCATGAGATATGTTCTAATAAGTGTCTACCAAGTTTGTTCAAATAAAAGCCCTGGAGTCAAAATTGGCCCCGCCCCAGGGGGTCATTGATTTTCCCTATATGCATATAGTAAAAACTTAAAAAATCTTCTTTTAAAGAACCCATAGAGCTAAAAATTTAGCATGAAACATCTTCTATTAAGTGTCCACCAAGTTTGTTCAAATAAAAGCCCTGGGGTCAAAATTGGCCCGCCCCGGGGGTCATTGATTTTCCCTATATGCACATAGTAAAAACTTAAAAAATCTTCTTTTAAAGAACCCATAGAGCTAGAGCTAAGATATATAGCATGAAACATCTTCTAATAAGTGTCTACCAAGTTTGTTCAAATAAAAGCCCTGGGGTCAAAATTGGCCCCGCCCCAGGGGGTCATTGATTTTCCCTATATACATATAGTAAAAACTTAAAAAATCTTCTTTTAAAGAACCCATAGAGTTAGAGCTAAGATATTTAGCATGAAACATCTTCTAATAAGTGTCTACCAAGTTTGTTCAAATAAAAGC